TGGTTAGCATGTTGGCTCCTACTGCACGTGTGTGTATCTTCCCTGTTAGTGTTCCATCCTTTTCCCCAGTGATCTGCAGGGAACAGTCCAGTGATTCCCCTGGGAGTGTGTGAAGTTGTTAACTTACTGGTGAAGCAAACAGGTGTATGCTCTCTAGCTGATTATGCTTAATAATGTCTGATTTCCTTTGCGCTCTTCCTTTATTAATATCTGGCTATGCTAACACATATCCCCCCAAGACTCTTGGGCCTTGTAATCTTACAAGGTAAATGGATGAAGGCCTCATCTTTTGTACTTTCTTCTTGCTGTCAAGGGATGTGGTCCTGCCTTATCCTCTGGCCCAGAGATTCTTCCTACCTGCCAGAGAAAGAGAGGAGCAAAAGGAAGGGGAATCTTCACATGAGGGCGGGGGGCTTTGCAAAATCCAGGTCAGTCTGATGCTGTCCTAGGGAGGAGTCATATGCTATGTCTGGAGGATGGCACTCCTGGACAAGTTGGCATCCTTCTTGTATTCTAAAGGTGACAAATTTGAGAAAAACTAGCTACCTACGCTAACACCATTGTTCAAAGGATAAAAATTTAAATGTGAATATGACCAATAGAGCCATCTATGACCTGGCCCTTTCCTGACTCTCACCTCATTTTCTACCATTCTCCTCTTCACTCATAAAGTTCCAGCCCAATTGCCTATCCTTGAAATAGAAATGTTCAGATTTCTTCTTGCTTTAGGTTCTTAAACATACTGTTCTCTCAGTCTGTAAAGTTCTCATTGATTTTGTAACCTTTACATTTCTAATTTCTGTTTAATAGCCTTTAAGGTAATTAGGGACAAAGACCTTGCTTTTCTCATCTTAATTCATATTAACTCATTAATTCATATTAGTATAATGCCATGTACTCTAGATATTCCATTTTATATGCTGAATGAATCACTAACTGATGGAATGAATGACCTTCTTCCACCACTGGCACATACTATTTTCTACTTGATCATTGCAAGAGTTGTTTTCTGGTTCCACTTGTCTTGTTTTCCCTCACTATCTACCTTCCATACTGCTACTATCATGACCTCTCCAACAATAAATGAACCTGATGTCACCACCCTCTACAGAATTGTTCAGTGGCCTTCCATTAATCAAAGGTTAAAAGTCTTTAGCTTGCTGTACAAAGGCCTCTCATGGTTTGCTGCCTCTGTAGCCTCCTTTCCCCCGTTGTTATTCAGCTGCCTTACCTTCAGCTGAAGTATAGAATGACAAAGCAAAAGAACATGAGAAAAAATAAAATAAAACAAAACATCTAAAAGTATTCAGAGGCCCGTGCAGCTAATTTCTTGGTTGGTATACGGAACTCTGAGGGCCCCCCTCCCCCCTTTTTTGTCTTGATGTAATTAATGTATAGAGCAAGGTACTGAAAGAGGCCAGAAAAACTGGATGGATTAATATTAGAAGGAGCAGAAAGGTGAACTCCAATCAAGCTGGTTCCAGAAGTTCACTTTTAAAATCCCTCTGTACCAAATATATAGCTATGATGGATAAAATACACAAATAGAAAACCAAAGAGGCATAACCAGACCCAGGAAAGATAGATATCTCTGTGGACAGGTAATGGAATAGAAATGCAATCATTTGGGCTGAAACCATTAGCTGCTTTTCAGAAGCAGGCTTTGGCTCCTATGAGCAGAGAGGACTTAAAATATATCATGAATAAAGCTTAAAGCCAGGATCTAGGCTATGGCTTCCTTAGTTCCTGGAAGGACATTGAAAGGATATGAGTACATTGTTACTTGGTTAAAATGGAGGTTGTATTATTAAAGGAGAAAAGGAAAATGGATATTAACTATGTGACTGGCAGTGTTTATCGTAACAGAAAATAATGAAAATAAGTGAGTTGTGGCCCTTGCCCGGAGGCTTGGTTGGTTGGAGCATTTTCCTGTGTACCAAAAAGGTTGTGGGTTCTATTCCAGGTCAGGGCACATACCTAGATTCTGGCTTTGATCTCATACAGGAGACTTGGGGTGCATACAAGAGACAACTGGTCAATGTTTCTCTCTCTCACAATGATCTCTCTCTCTCTCTCCTTCCCTCTCTCAAATCAATAAGAAAACAAAACAACAGAAAAACACAAAACACACAAAAAAGCATATCCTTGAGTGAAAATAAAAAATAAATAAATGAGTTGTCTTTAACCTAATTAAAACAAAGAAAAAGAGAGATTAGGGATGAAACCTAAAGAAAGTGGAAAAAATACCAGCAAAAATTAGTGAAATAGAAAGCAATGAAATAATAAGGTCAAAACCAACATGTGTTTTTTTTAAATCTGGTAAAGTATATATTTCTAGCAAAACTGATCAAGAAAGGCATGAAAAATAATATTAGATAAGGCACAAATAAACAATATTTAAAGTGATTATAGGAACTGATACAATTGAGTTTTTAAAATTATAGGGTAAATAATTTCACATCAATAAATATAACAACTTGGATGAAATAGATATTTTAAGAAGAAAGTGACTCAAGAAGAAAGAAAATTAAATAGTAAGTAAAATTGTAAGTTGTCAGAAGTGACTCAAGAAGAAAGAAAATTAAATAGTAAGTAACTATTATAAATAATGAATTTATAATAAAAATATGCCTTCACCTGGCTCCTCCTCACACCTCAACTTCATCCCCTGCCTTCCGACTCCAGAAGGGGAATGTAGGAATGTCCCGAGACAAGCTGCAAGAATCATTTAACTGTTTTCAAAGAACTGGGGAGAGAAAGTTACTTAACCCAGTTTTGGAGGCTTGTATTATATTGCCACTGAGACCCAACAAGAATAGTATATGAAAAGAAAATTACAGTCCAATCTCACCTGTGGACACAAATGTAAAAAAAAACTTGATTAGCAAATTTAGTTCAGGGTCTGTGTATTGATTGGCCTATTTATCTACCTACCTATCGATCAAGTCATATCTATCCATCCTTCCATCTTTCCATTCATCCTTCAGTCTATCCAGAGTTTACCCCGAGAATGCAAGCGTTCGAAGCCAGAAAATATACATTTCAGGTGACATTGATATGGTTATACAATAGATTAAAAAACATTTGATAAGGTCAGGATCATGGTGATGATCCTGGGACGTGAGGAAGGGGTAGTGAAGACACAATCCACAGTAGACTTTAGTTATATTCACATTAGTTCATTACATTTTAGTAAAATAAGATTGTGTGCAGATTATACTACATTATTTGTGTACATGTATATCATGATATTCTTTATTCTCTATGTAATTTAATGGATGCTGGTAATATCACATAATAAATACCAAACAAAAAAATAAAAGGTCAAGGCTAGGGTAGGACTGAGCAAAGGACTAAGCAAAGGCCCTCTACTGGGGATTGAGCCTGCAACCCAGGCATGTACCCTGACCAGGAATCTAATTGTGACTTGGTTCATGGGTGGAATTGGTTCAACCACTAAGCCACACTGGCCGGGCTATCGTTTGAGTCTTAAATTCATCATTTCTTCCTTTGTGAACAGGCTCGTCTTGTTTATATGCACTAGTGAGCTCTTGAGAACCTGGACTATTTATTTTTATGTCTCCAATTTCCTGGCCCAAAGTAGATGCTCAATAAATATTTGTTAAATTAGTGGGAAAATTTATAAATGAATTAATGAGCAATCTTTTGTAAAAAAAGAGTCATTGAGATAAAATTTATATTTCATAAAATCTATCCTTTTAAAACATAAAATTCAGTGATTCTTAGTATATTTGGAGTTGTGCAGATATAAACATAATATAATTTTATAACTTTTTATCACCTCAAAAACCTAGCACTCATTAGCTATCCTTAACCATTTCACTCCTGTCCCACCTCTAGGCAATCACTCATGTACTTACTGTCTTTATAGATTTGCCTATTCTGGACATTTTATGCAAATGGAATCATACAATTTGTGATTCTTTGTAAGGACCTTTTCCTTAGCATAATGTTTTCAAGGTCATCCACATTGCAGTGTGTATCAGTACTTGATTACTTTTTATTACTGAATAATATTTTATTGGATGGATATACCACATTTTGTTTATCTATTTATTAATTGATGGACATTTGAGTTTTTCCACTTCTTGGCTGCTGTGAATATTCATGTCCAAGTTTTTGTGTGCACATTTGTTTTCATTTCTTTTGGGTAGATAGATACCCAGGAGTGGAATTGTTGGGCCATATGGGAACTATTTTTATCTTTTTGAGAAACTGCCAGACTATTTTCCAAAGTAGTGGTACCATTTACATTCCCACCAGCATTGCATGAGGGTTTCAATTTCTGTACATCCTCAACAACATATGTTGTTTACTGCCTGTTTTTTTTTTTTATTACAGCCATCTCAGTTGATATGAAGTGGTATCTCACTGAGTTTTTTATTTACATTTTTCTAATGACCAGCAATATTGAGCATCTTTTAATATGTGTATTGGCCATTCATATGTCTTTGAAGAATTAGCTATTCAAATTTTTGCCCATTTTAAGAGTAGAATTTTCTTATTATTGAGTTGTAACATCTATTTTGGATAAAATCCCTTATTAGATTATGATTGACAATATTTTCTCTCAGTCTATGTGTTGTCTTTACTTTCTTAATACTGTATTTACAGTGCAAACATGTTTAATATTGATGAAATCCAATTAAAAATATTTCAAAATTACTTTTGCTTTTGGTATCATATCTAAGAAATCATTGACTAACTGAAGATCATGAAGATATGCATCTATATTTTCTTCTGCAAGTTCTTTAGTTTTAGCTCTAATATATAGGGCTATGATCCATTCTGAGTTGACTTTTTGCAAGGTAAGAGGTAGAAGACCAAATTCATTCCTTTGTATGTGGATAACCAGTTGTCCCAGTACCATTTTTTAAAAAAGACTGTTCTTTCCTGAATGAGCAATCTTGAATGTTTCTATAATCATGTCTTTTTTGTATTGATATTCGTTTAATTTATACTTATGTTTTGATTTTCAGGTTGCTTACCAAGTGTCCCACAAGTGAAAAAAATTTCCACATCTTATGAGGAAAGACGGAAACAAGCTACTGCTATCGTGTTACTGGGAGTCATAGGAGCTGAATTTGGTGCTGAAATTGAACCTCCTAAACTGTTGACCAGACCTCGAAGCTCTAGTCAGATTCCTGAGGGATTCGGTTTGACTACTGGTGGATCCAACTACTCACTGGCCAGACATACTTGTAAGTTTTGAAATTCCTAATGCTGATGTATCGCTTCTCAATACATATTATTTGTTAACAAAATCTAAGAATATTGAATATATCCCCAGTTTCAACTCACATAGGAGGTTCAGATCAAGTTAGGAAGCAGGACAATCTGTTTGGCACATTACCCTGTGTCATAGTTGCCCAGACTTCTTTTCAAAAGTTCAAATGTGGTTTTTAAATGCTTTTCTTAACACATTTCTGAGATTTGAGTTTTCACAATTTGGTCAAAATTTTAGCCAAAATTTATGAAAGCTAGCTTTAAGTTAAAACTTTTAACTTATAAAATCATTTCTCAAAAACTACCCGACATGTCCTGAACGTGATTTGAAAAGTTAGGGGTGGAGGTGGAACACCAATTAATTACAATCAGCGCTCAAAGGGCTTGTGTCATATTGGTCTAGTTCTGTAGTTGGTATGTTAATAACAGGTAAGGGTATTTTATAATGATGTCTGTTGTTACCTTAATGTTGGAACTTCTTTACATAAGTCAAAATGTTCCTGCCATATTGCAAAATCATTTCTAATGTTGTCATGTTAAGGACCAAATATCCTACTGAATACATCACAACCTTTTTTTGTAGAACAAGTTGCAACATGTTCTTTAGGTGTTTTGTGTGTTTTTTTAACTTTTAAGCAAAGGAAAAAGATATATGTTAATTTGGGAGTTACGATGGCCGAGAACGTCATTGGATCATTATCCTGTACTTTTGCCGTGAAGTCAGGGGACTGTATTGGAGGTTTTTATTACTGAAGCCCTATTATAACTTAGCTGTTGTGCCCCTTCTCTGCCTTTGGTTCAGAATGCAGCAAATATTTATTAGTGTTTGTAATCTTTTTATCTCTACTTGATATTGAGAATCAGAGAGTAATAATAACAAGACCACCACCAACAATAATAAAGCTACTAATTGTTTTGAGCACAATTTTAAGCTTTTTCTATGCATTAACTCAGTGCTCATAGTCACCTTTTCTTTTCTTTTTTTCTAAAAATATTTTTATTGATTTCAGAGAGGAAGAGAGAGAGATATAGAAACATAGAAACATCAATGATGAGAGATAATCATTGATTGACTGCTTCCTACACTCCCCCTAATGGGGATCGAGCCGACAACCTGATGGGGAATCAAACTGTGACCTCCTAGTTCATCGGTTGACACCAAGCCACACCGATTGGGCCATAGTCACCTTTTAAAGTGGTATCTGCATTTAACACATTAGGTTAAGGGGCACAGAAAGGTTTAGTCAGCCTGGCCGAGTTCATACCTCTAGGAAATGGCCTTTTGAGGCTCAGCACCATCTGTTGGTTCCAAAGCTCATGCTTTTGACCAATATGCAAACTGCTGCTGTTCAGTGGTTGCTAGTTGAAAGGGCTTAATGACTAACCTGTGCTATCACTTTATAACTTGAAAAGTACTTTTTTTTGGGGGGGGGGGAGGGAGTCTGTGATTGAGAGGCCTAGACTTGCCCACTCTATTACCTGTACCCTTGGTAAGTGAAGTGTCCCTCTGGGTCACAGTTTCCTCTTGCATAAAATAAAAGACTGGAATTATTCTCTTTTTATAGCCCTTTTTGTCCAATTAGTCTCTGCTTTTGAAGAGAAATAGAAAGCATCTCAGGAAATTCACCTTCTTCGTAACCTTCCCATTTTCTTCTCCATGTACCGATAGATGCTTCACATCAGCCCAACTTTAGTCGAGATTGTTCATTTGTATTTGGACCCACAGAATAAAGCATGTTAGACTATTTTACAGTATTATTTATAATATTACCTTGTAGGACTTTTGGTTCTTTCATTTGGTCTCTTCTGCTCAGTTTATAATTGTGGAATTATGCTGGCACGTCTGTAGTAAATTCCATTTTGATCTCTCATTAGCTTTCTTACTTTGGGCAAGTGTCATAAGTCATTTCCCTAGGCAGCAGACTCTGAGGCAGATTTGTATGCAGACCTGTTCTGGGATCAATACCTTTAGGAGAGTGAAAGAAGCAGGATTGGGCAGGGGAGAAGTTGAATTGCATTTCAATTGCCTACAAAGCCTCAGCCCATCTCAGGGAACTCTGGAGCTGGGATGGCCCTTCAGACTTGTCCTGAACTAGGACTGAGGGCTTGGCCTTTAATCCTTGTGTCAGTCAGTCACTGGAATCAAGTCATTGGTGCCCTGAGCGGAGAGGGGGCAGGGGGAGAAACTTGAGTGAGGCAGCTCGCTTCCATTTAAGGCAAACCCCACAGAGGGACTGGGCTGAGGTGTATTAGCCACTAACACACCATGAGCTTGGGAAGTGAGTGCTTTGGTCGGTCGTGGAGGGGAGGAGATAGGCAACCTCTCCAGGTCCCACCCAGCATGTAACTCAGGGGTGTGGAACCTTCTTTCTGTCAAGGGCTGTTGGGATATTGATAACATCATTTGTGGGCCGTACAGAATTATCAACTTAAATATTAGCCGGCTGTATTTGGTCAGACATTTAACTCACCCCTAATGCCTTGGCAGAGCTAGACCAAATGATTTTGAGGGCCTTATGCGGGGTATTCCCCACCCCTGATGTAATTAATTTATCTGTGACCCAGTTCCCTTTCTATCAACAGAAATGGAGAGCGGGGCTGCTATTTATTTAACACACTTTTTATTCCAGCTTTATACAGAGCTCCTATTTCCCTGCAAGACAGATATTTCATCCAGCACCTAGCACAATACAAGATACATTAATAATAGTTACTGAGCATTTACGCTGTGGCAGGCATTTTGCCCGTATTATGTGATCTTCTAATCCTATCAAATAAGTCCTAATATTATTCCCATTTTTCAGACGAAGAAACTGAGGCTTTGGATTAAACTTTCTTCCTGCAGACAATAAATTGAGGGCACAGGTTAAATGTTTTAAGGTCATACTGCTAAAAAGTGTCAAGCCTGGACTTGAACACCTATCTCCCAACTCCAAATCAGCGTATTTTCACCATTTCAAATAGTTTTCTTGTGTTACAAACAAGAAAGATTCAGAAGTGGCGCTGAAAAAAGGAGGATCAAGGCAGCAGGTACCAGGCCACCTTTAAATCTGAACATTTATTGAATCGTTCTTTAGGGATGTGCTGGTGCCATGGAGATACAAATGTGTGCAAAATCCACACTGCTGTAATTGTGAACTGGCTTGTAACTGTGGTGTGAAATATTTCGATTAGAAAAAAAAATCACTTTTTCCCTACAGTGGGGCTTTAGAAATATCATAATATTAGAGTTCATCAGCTAGCCAAGGTGTATAACCTCACCGATGTTACGTGGAAAATACTGTCTTTATGTGCATTTGTATTTTTGTTCTGGGAAAAGGATTCACAAATTTCATTAAATTCTCAAAACATAGTTATTAAAATAAAAATGGATAAGAACTCTAAGAGTTTGTTAGAATAAATTGTTATTATTATGATTTTAAAAACAATAAGTTATGTTCCTCTTAATTAGTTCAATTATAATACCACCAAATAGAAGCTTCAGTTTGATGTCACTTAAGGAATATTTCAATTATGTGAGAAACTGTATTTAGTTTCCTATGGTGCTATGTTTGACTTCATTTTGTTGTAGTCTGCTATTACCCAGGTTGTGGGCTTGGTCCCCAGTAGGGGGCATGCAGGAGGCAGCCGATTAATGTTTCTCTCTCTCCCTTTCTCTCTAAAGTTAATACAAACATTTTAAAAATTAAAAAAAACACACTTTAAAAAAGGCATATTTAATTTAGTTTTATAATACATTTATACTTAGATTTGAATACATATGACTCTTTTGTGAGTATTACACTTTACATGAAACATCAAAATCACAGATTGAAGACAAAGCTGAAGGACTCTGTGATTGAGAGGCCTAGACTTGCCCACTCTATTACCTGTACCCTTGGTAAGTGAAGTGTCCCTCTGGGTCACAGTTTCCTCTTGCATAAAATAAAAGACTGGAATTATTCTCTTTTTATAGCCCTTTTTGTCCAATTAGTCTCTGCTTCTGAAGAGAAATAGAAAGCATCTCAGGAAATTCACCTTCTTCGTAACCTTCCCATTTTCTTCTCCATGTACCGATAGATGCTTCACATCAGCCCAACTTTAGTCGAGATTGTTCATTTGTATTTGGACCCACAGAATAAAGCATGTTAGACTATTTTACAGTATTATTTATAATATTACCTTGTAGGACTTTTGGTTCTTTCATTTGGTCTCTTCTGCTCAGTTTATAATTGTGGAATTATGCTGGCACGTCTGTAGTAAATTCCATTTTGATCTCTCATTAGCTTTCTTACTTTGGGCAAGTGTCATAAGTCATTTCCCTAGGCAGCAGACTCTGAGGCAGATTTGTATGCAGACCTGTTCTGGGATCAATACCTTTAGGAGAGTGAAAGAAGCAGGATTGGGCAGGGGAGAAGTTGAATTGCATTTCAATTGCCTACAAAGCCTCAGCCCATCTCAGGGAACTCTGGAGCTGGGATGGCCCTTCAGACTTGTCCTGAACTAGGACTGAGGGCTTGGCCTTTAATCCTTGTGTCAGTCAGTCACTGGAATCAAGTCATTGGTGCCCTGAGCGGAGAGGGGGCAGGGGGAGAAACTTGAGTGAGGCAGCTCGCTTCCATTTAAGGCAAACCCCACAGAGGGACTGGGCTGAGGTGTATTAGCCACTAACACACCATGAGCTTGGGAAGTGAGTGCTTTGGTCGGTCGTGGAGGGGAGGAGATAGGCAACCTCTCCAGGTCCCACCCAGCATGTAACTCAGGGGTGTGGAACCTTCTTTCTGTCAAGGGCTGTTGGGATATTGATAACATCATTTGTGGGCCGTACAGAATTATCAACTTAAATATTAGCCGGCTGTATTTGGTCAGACATTTAACTCACCCCTAATGCCTTGGCAGAGCTAGACCAAATGATTTTGAGGGCCTTATGCGGGGTATTCCCCACCCCTGATGTAATTAATTTATCTGTGACCCAGTTCCCTTTCTATCAACAGAA